ATTATAACATCGACTGAGATAAAGAATAAAATGAAATATTAAAATCACGATGTATCTCGCTGCATTACGCGAGTACGCTTCTAGTATATATATATATATATATATATATATATATATTTTTTTTTTTTTGTCGAACACATGCATTTTAAGGTGGATTAAAAGCCACAAAGTCGTTGGATATATTTTTAGCCAGATTTCATTCTTTCAAGAGATTTTTTAAATTCTTTTGGTTGATTTCGAGAAGTTTTTAAGTTTTTTTTGGTTGATTTCGAAAGACTTTGTTTATTGGTTGGTTTCGACCAACTTTTTCAGTTTTTTGGTTGATGTCTCTTTGTATATATATATATTACTTTGTATATATATATTATTCCGAAACACCCTCAAAGTTTAACGTGTGCATCTTTTATACACCAATAGACCCTTTGATGCATTTTGGTGTTATTGAATCAGTGAAATGTTTCAAATAGGGGTGTTCGTGCACCAACCAATAAGATTTAGCAACAAATGACTAAACCGGTCAAACTATACCACCAAAAGGTGATGACCGATTTAGACAATTTGGATCTATTATGGGATTTAAACTAAAAAAACGTAACGTCTGTCTGTGAAATAAAATTTTACCAATGTAACAGTATAAAAAAAATACTATACCAAAACCGAATTATAAACTAACCATCTATTACCAAAAAAAAAACAATACGTTGAAAAAAAGTTAGGGGCTATTTACCTAAATGCTTTCCCGGTAAGCGTTTACAGTTATAAGTCAACACTATAATTTCTTTTATAGATAAGATCATAGTACATCAAAATGGAATGATATGCAACAATTTATTTGGTAAACACCTATCCGGGTAAGAGTTGTTACCCTCACTTACCGGGTAAGACTCTCTATCCTTATGATCAGATTCTTGGGTCTTGCCATGTTTATCCGGAGAGAAAAATTACCCAGTAAACATCTATCCAGGTAAGCATTTAATAAACGGCTCCTTAAACAAGTGCACCAACAATGTTTGAAATTTTGGATAAACATTAAGCAAATCGAGTGACAACATTTGGAATTTGGGATTTTGATTTTTGGCGTATTTTGAAATTTTGCTGATTTAGGTAAGGCAGACAATCAGGGATGAACACATGAATTTTTTTATACAGTGGCACCATATAATATAAACAGAAAATGATTACAAAAAACATGTTTCTTTCGACGTGTCTTCGTGTTTTTTCTAAAGTTCAATATCGCTCGATGTGTTTTTAGCCTAATTCCACCTTTTCAAGAGATTTTTAGAATTATTTGCTTGATTTCGAGGAATTTTTTAGTTTTTCTTTATCGATTTCGAGGGGTTTTTTCGGTTTTTTAGTTGATTTAAAGTAGTTTTAGGTTTTTTGGTTGATTACGAAGTGCACCTTCTTGAACTTTAGAAAATCATACGATGGCACATTCTAAAACGATAACATTGCACCATAAACATAAAAATTTTAACCTTTCGGCAGATTGATAATACGTTGACACATGCCACCGTATGTATGCCCTTGTATAGGTGGTCCGTCTATGCGGACAATTGAAAAGTGAAAATTAAAAAACTAGTGAAAACTAAGGGGCCGTTTACTAAACGCTTACTTGGTAAGTGCTTACCGGATAAATTTCCTCATCGGATGAACATGGGAAGGGCAAAAATCTTACCGGGTAAGAACGATGAGAATGATGGAGAGTCTTATCCGGTAAGTGAGGATGACGACTCTTATCCAGTAAATTGTTGCATTTGATATGTTTTGATGTACTAAAATCTTACGCACCAAAATAAATCATAATGTTGATTCCTATTAGCATGAACTTACCGGATATGCAATTGGGTAAACGGCCCCTAAATATAATTAATACAAGTGTCTTCTGGAGATTCGTTTGGTCCAAATACAAAACATTCAAACTGCGGGGGTGTTTGGAATTTTGTTTATTTGAAACAACTTATACTTTTCTACAAAAGTTCTTATCAACTTATAATTTTTCTAAAAAAGTTCTTATCAACTTATTATAAGTTAGAATTGTTCAACTTCTTCAAAAACTCCTTATTACCGGTTTGACACCGGTATAAATTGTTTATCCAAACACTTAAAATTGTTTATTACCGGTGTAACACCGAAATAAGTTAATAAGTTATTTTTATAAATAAAACTGCAAATTGTCCTGTTGAACCCGTTTGGACGAGTCAGCAGTTGTACGGTACAACCCTTGAAAGCAATATCATATGTGTGGTGTATAGATGGATTTACCTTGTTCAAGAAACCGGGCTTGTTGATGCAGCTGCCGACGAACAAGAAAAGCCGGAAAGTACGTAGCACTGCTGCTACGGAAGATTATGGATGTAAGATTCAGATCCATGGCAACAGCTCCTGCAAAGAACATAAGGTAATCATAGATGATAACCATCGATTTATCTCCTCTGCTTTCTTCACTCATCAACCGAATCAAGTGTTGATGGAGTGATGGTCGGCAGTTTGTGTTGAGAGTTTGGATGAAACCAGTGAAGCTTGAGGAGGCATCAATGGCGGATAAGTTGTCAGAAAGAGGGAGGAAGATGAAGTCGGGATGGTTAGATGGGTCAGGAGGGTTCAACTGAGCGTGAGCAATAGCTATGGTGAAGCCTAGAGCATGAAGGGCAGTGGCTAGCTGGAGGGTTGGAGTCATGTGGCCATGAAATGGAGATGATGTTAGCACCACCAGCGGCCACCGTCTTCCACCGTCTTCTTCCATCTTTCTTTCTCTCTCTATGAAATTGACGTATAAAGACCGGATTGGATAAATAATAGGACCAGATCGGATCATGGTTGGATCCGGGTTTTTTTTATTAATCTGGATATCCAACCTACTATGTAGCCGACTAATTTCAGGACAGATAGCCCGAAATCATCGTATCTGAACCTCCATGACCACAAAGAAATTTTTATTGTTCCTTGGATTTGAACCTGAGACCTCCTAGTATTTTTGACATTTGAAGTCAAGCTCAAACCAATCATGCACCACCCTTGTGGTTTGGATCGGGCTTTTTTGAACCATTTTGACCAAGTCGTTAACTAGGTGAAAGTTTGTGTGAGAAGGAAAGTTATAATAAGAATCATAAGAATGAGATATGAATCCTTGATCACTTTAATCTTATGTACACAATATTTTAGAAGAGAATTGATTTGATACATCTCGGTATATCTAATTAGTGTTGACATTCAATTAGCTTTGATCGATCTAAGAATTTATAAACTTTTAATCCACTTTAAGAAAATATATCTATCGGGTAATCCTCAAAGGGATCGGTGGGGTGCACCCTCTTGTTTTGTCTTCGTCTTTGTGGAAAAAAAAAGGTGGTTTCTTGGTGCTTTCTATTTAAACTCATTTGCATCAAACGTCTGGAATTGATTATAAAAATAATTTATTGACTTATTTCGGTGTGACACCGGTAATAAACATTTTTGAGTGTTTGGATAAATAACTTAAACCGGTGCCAAATCGGTAATAAAGAGTTTTTGAAAAAGTTAAACTATTATAACATATAATAAGTTGATAAACACTTTTGTAGAAAATCATAAATTATTTCAAATAAGCAATCCCAAACACCCCCTAAGTATTTTAATTCGTATAACTATAATATAATTAATACTAGATTAATATCTGAAAATTTAAAACTTTTCATATAACTAACCGATAAACACAAGAATATATAAGATAAAACACCTTATTTTTATTTATTTAATTAAACTATATTTTATTTGATAAAAGAATT